CGCGTGTGTGTGTGTGTGTGTCTTCTTGTGCTCCGTGTCTGCGTTGTTTTTTTTTCTTTGTTTTTTTTTGTTTTTGTTTTTTTCTTCATGTGTTTTGCTTTTTTTTTTAAACTTTCTTTTTTCTTTTTGTTTTGTGTATGTGCGCAAATATACACACATTGTATACATCATTACGCATACACACACGCGCCGTGCATGACACGCATATATACACACACACACACACACACGCATATGTGCATGTAAAATGTGTATGTTCTTTCTCCCCGCCTCTTCGCCGCGGTGGTGGTGGTGGTGGTGGTGGTGGTTGTCGCTTTGGCCTCCCCTGCGGTGGCTGCGGCTTCCCCCCCCCCTGCCCACCTTCTCTCTTTGACGCCCGCCCTCCTTTTGCTTTCGCTTTGCTTTTTTTTTTTTTCCTCTTCTCCCCCCCACCCCTGCCCACCCGCCTTTGCTTCTGCGCCGCGGCGGCGGTCCGCGGTGCTGTGCGGCGTGGAAGAGACGTTCGCCGCGTGCGTGGGGGAGTGGGCAAAAAAAAAACAAAGAAAAAAAAGGAGGAAAGCAGACACACCGAAAGGGGACCGCGAGAAAAGGAGTGGTAGGAGCAGAGAGCGCGAGAAGTAGAGAGAGAAAAGAAAGAAGAAACACACACACACACACACAAAAGAAAGGGACGAACGAAGAAGGAAGGGGCGCGTGAGAGAGGACGAGAGAGGTGAGACACGGGCAGAGAAGAGTTGTCTCGCGGCGCGGCGTACGGGGCCAGCGGGAGGAGAAGCAGGCAAACAGACAGGCCTGGCACCGGTTTGGGTAAAGGGCGGCGCCACCTCTTTTTCTTCTTCTTCTTCTTCTTTGCAGCAGAAGCAACAACAACAGAAAGAGGGAAGGCAGCGGGACTGTGGGGGTCGCGCGGCGACCAAAAAGGAGGAAATAAGCGGCAGCAGCAGCAGCAAGCACGAGAAGGAGGAGTGGGGAGGAGGGGCGGTGTGCCGGCATCCATGGCGTCGGTGTACCACCGCAAGATCACGATTAGCGCTGGGGAGGAGTGCACGATCAGCGGCGGCGGCGCCGTGGAGCTGCAGCTGCTCTCGGGGGTGGTGGAGGTGGCCGGGGTGCTGCTCCCGGCGAAGGGAAGCTGCGTCTTCGACCTCGCCCCCGACGCCCGCTGCGTCGTGCTGTACACGTTGGAGGGCGGCTCCGTGCAGGCCACCGCGGGGGCCCCGTTTGAGACGCTGAAGACGGCCACCGGCATGGCGGCTGTGGTGCAGCTCTGCCGCCGCACCCTGGCCGCGGAGCGGCGTACGAAGGTGCTGGTGATCGGGAACGCCCACAGCGGCAAGACGCTGACGGCGCACACGATTTGCAACCTGCTGCGGGAGGACGCGGCGGGGGAGTCGGCGGCCACCGCGGCGACCGTCTTTCTCATGGACCTCAACCCCGAGTCGAACTGCCTCTACGCCCCCGGCTGCGTCTCCACGGTGCAGGTGGAGCATGCGCTGTGGCCCGGCACCACCGCGGCCCCGACGCGGCTCCCCTTCTCCCTCTTTGTGGGGGAGGCCGCCCGCCCGTCGGCGGCGACCGTCGTCCCGTTCATGCACTTTGTCGAGCAGCTGCAGGAGTGCACCGAGGCGCTGCTGCACGCCGCGCCGCAGCACGAGCGCGTCCACCTCGTCGTCGACGCCCCCGCGCCGGTGGCCGGCGTCAAGGAAAGCGTGTACTTCCGCAAACTCATCGAGCTGCTGCGCCCCACCCACGTCGTGACGGTGAGCGCGCAGGACGGCTCCGAGACGTGGTCGACGTTTCTGCAGGAGGACGTGCAGCGGGTGCTGCCCGACTGCGAGTTCGCGTGCGCCACGCCGGTGGTGCAGCGGTGCACCGTCTCGCTGCGCGAGCCGCTGCTGCGGGAGTACTTCGCCGGCACCCCGCAGTTCCCGCTGGGCTGCGCCAAGGTGGTGCTGCCGCTCGCACAACTGCAGTTTGTCCAGTACACCACACCCGCCGCGGCAACGGCGGCAGCGGTCTCCTGCCGCAAGGTCGCCGTGACCCCCGCGCTCGTCGGCGCGGTCTGCGCCCTCTCCCACGCGGAGATGCCGGAGGAGGTGCCGCTGGCGCCGGTCGCCGGGCTGCTGCTGGTGGTGGCCGTGGACGAGGAGCACGAGGAGCTGGTGGCGATTGTCCCCGCCTGCGAGGACCTGCCGCGGCGCTTTGTGGTTGTGCCGAACGCGGCGGCGGAGGCGCCCACGCTAAGCGTGACGACGGCCATGGCGCCCATTGAAGAGGCGGTCGCGGTGTAGGCGCCCCCCCCCCCCCCCCACCGGTGGCGCACACCACGCACAAAGTACTCCGCACCGACACCATCGCCTTATGTGCAGGTAGGCATATATTTGCATGTGTGCGTGTGTGTGTGTGTACAAGTCGCTAGATGCATCCTGTTGGAAGCTGTTTCCCGCAAAAAAGAAAAAGAAAAGAAAAGGAAGACGAAAACAATAACAAAGAAAAAAAATGCGTCTTCATAACTCTTTTTTTTATATTATTATTCTCTGCCTGCGTTTCCGCTTATTAACGAGGCGGCCCCTCCCCGCCTTCCCTTCCTCTTGTTTACTCATGCCTTTGTTTATTCTTCGCTTCCTCCCTCGCTCTCCCCCGTTAGGCGTGTGGGACTGCGTCTGGGATGCGGCGGTCGCTGTGGCGCCGGGCGGGGTCGACCGTCGACTGGCGGTCGCGGGCCCGTCGCGGGCTGCAGCGGTTCGTGCGCCGCTACGTCCCCGACCCCCGCGACGACCCCCTCACGGAGGCCCCGATGAACGCGGAGGCGTACGGGCGGACGAACCTGCAGCAGGAGGGCGGCGTCCGCGTCGGCATCCGCCCCGGCCAGCCCATCGAGGACTACATGGCAGAGCGGGACCGCAGATGGCTGGAGGAGCAGCGGCGCACCACGGCGCGGCTCGCGGCGGAGCAGCGGCTGCCCACAACGAGCGACGGGCAGCTCTTCAGCGGCGGCGGCACGCGGGCCTCGTACATGGACGTGGCGGCGGCGAACAGGCTGGTGAAGACGCCCACGCCGGCCGACTACGAGGCGGACGAGGAGCTGGTGCTGATGCGGCGCCAGCTGCAGGTGGAGAACGAGGCGGAGTACCGCCGCTTCGCCGCGGAGCAGAAGCGGGCGGAGCTGACGGCGGCGGAGACGCAGAAGCGGCGGCGGCCGCACCCGAGCGACCCGGGCTACGACCCCTTCCGCATCACGCCGGGCTACCGCCCGCAGGACTCCGTCGCCCTCGCGCAGTGGCTGAAGCGGCAGCGGGAGTCAGGCAGGACGGCGAGCGGGCTCTCGCTGCAGACGCGGGAGGGGCAGGAGCGGTACTACAACGAGGAGAAGATGGCCACGCAGTTCCACGCCAACCCTTTCGCGGCGCGGGTGGAGGAGCCGCGGGGGCTCTCCAAGATGCGGGTGACGGCGTACTCGCCCGACAGCGTCTTCGTCAACGACAAGGAGGTGATCGGCTCCTGCATCGTCACGGACAAGGCCTACTACCACTGGAACGTCAGCAGCTTCGAGGAGGTCAACGCACGCACGCTGGCGCTGCTCCTCCACCTCTACCCCGTCCCCGACGTCGTCTTCCTCGGCACCGGCCGCAACCTGCACTTCATCGACGAGGACCTCCGCATCGCGTTCCAGCGACGCGGCTCCGTCATCCACTGCCTCACCACCCCGCAGGCCTGCGGGCACTTTGGGGTGCAGCTCTCCATCTCCCGCCGCGCGCGCTCGCAGTGATTAACCCGATTCCCACCAACGGCTACGGCGTGGAGTGCTTCGGCGACTTTGTCGAGAACGACATGTTCTCCCTCTCCGACACCCAGCTGGGGGTCCCGCCCATCAAGCAGTTCTCCGCGACGCTCTTCCGGCAGAACAAGGTGGCGGAGAAGTACCGCCACATGCAGGGCACCGGGTTTGGGCCAAAGTACCACCAGATGAGCGACGGCCGGCTGGTGCGGCCGGGCACGAGCGGCACGAAGCTGCGCCCGCTGCTGGAGCCGGGGGAGGAGGTGCAGTGGGAGACGCTGCCCTCCTACTACCACTGGTACCCAAAGGAGCACCTGCACGACTACATCGAGAACACCACGATGCGGGAAATCCAGGGCAAACCCACCGGCGACCCCACGGAGCGGCGCATGTACCAGGCGATGCGCGGGGGGAAGTCGGAGCGGGAGAGCGCCCCAGCCCCCGACGTGGCGCCGTGGGACTCGGCGTCCATCCCCATCACGAAGTTCCCGCACGAGCGCGACGAGGAGGAGATTGTGGTGGAGGACCCCAAGACGGGCCGCATCATCGGCATGGACCGCGCGACCTACGAGCGGTGGCGCGTCATGATGCAGGAGCGGCGCGAGGGCAGACCGGAGAGCGACCCGGTAGAGTACGACCAGGAGCGGTACGTCACCAACAAGGACGGCGTCGTGTTTGACCTGTCCAAGATGAAGTACCGCCCCATCTTTGAGGGTCGCTGGAACCCGCGACGACCCCAGAGCACGGGCAGGACAAACCCCATCATGACGTGAAGAAGAAGAATAGAAAAAAAAAAAAAAAGAACAAAAAAAAAGGGGGAGAAACAAAAGTAAGAAAATGAATATGTATATAAATATACATATACATATATATATATATATATATCGGTACGCCCTGGCGTGTGTGCGTCTGCTGTGGCGTGCTGGTCTGGCCGGAGAAGAGGCCCCGGGGAAGGCGATGGTGGGCCGCGTCGCTGCTGCTGTTGGTTGGTTGTTGTAGCACTAGTGGAGTGACGTGGCTGTGGCTGGCGGCGAGGTGCGGAATTTGTCATTGTTATTATTATTTTTTTTTTGCTCCGCTGCCGCCCCTCTCTCCCCCACACCGCATTTGTGCTGCCGCCGCAAATTTTTCACTTGCGTTTTATCATCGCCTCTCTGTTTTCTCTTCCCCCCCCCCCGCCCTTTTTTTTTGACCGCCAGGCGGCGATGGCGGCGCGGGGGAGCGACGCCGGCGACGCGGCCAGCCGCCCCGTCCTGCGCGTCCTCCGCACGCGCGGCCCGCTGTTTGTCTGCGAGGACCCCGCGGGTCTCCTGCGGCGCCTGCCGCAGACCCGCAAGCGCCACCACCGCGGCGCCTGCCTCAGCATCGAGGAGCTGGAGCACGTGGCCCGCGCCGCGGAGGTCGTTTGGCTGCGCCCCGAGGACGCCCTGCGCCGCGCGGAACTGCGGGAGCGGCACGCCTCCGCCTGCCGCCTCTACCACCACCTCACCGACGTGGCGGGGCTGCGGCTGCGGCACGGCAGCCAGTTCGGCGCCGCCTTCGTCGGCTACCGCGACCTCCGCGGCCACGGCGCCTGCCTGGTGTTTCTCGGGCCCCTCGCGCGCCCGGCGGCGGTCGCAGCGGCGCGGGTGGCGGGGAGCGTCGCGAAGGAGGCGTGGGTGGCGGAGGAGCTGCACGGCGGCGGCGGCGGCTTCACCCTCACGCGACTGGGGGAAACCCGCGGCGAGCCCCGCGCAAAGCGGTGCCGCGGCGTCCCCTGACGGGGGCGCGGGGACCCACGCTGGGCCGCGAAGCTCAAAAACGCACACGCGCGGCGAGAGAGAGGGAGAAGGAGCTCGACGGGGTGCGCATTGCGCGGGAGCCGAGGCGGCAGAGGCACCCGCGTTTCCCACTCTCTTTCCCTCTCTCTCTTCTTTTCTCTCTGTGAACGCACGCCCGCCTGTCTTTGTTTGTTTGTTTGCTTTATTTGTTGTATTGGTTTCGCCCTCTTCCCCCGTGCGCAGGGAAAAAAAAAAGAAAGCAGATGGCTTGCCCCCGTGTGCAGTACCGCCGCCGCATGCACTACGCGACGCGCGGCAACCGCATGAAGCTCGTGCGCACCCCCGGCAACCGCCTCGTGATGCAGAAGCGGGCGAAGCGCTCGCAGGGTCCCCACACGCCGTGGGTGCTGGGCCACAAGCGCCTCGCCGGCACGAAGGCGCTGCGCCACACGGAGGCCCGCCTCGCCTCGCGTCACCAGAAGAGCACCTCGCGCCCGTACGGCGGCGTGCTGAGCCACGAGCAGGTGCGGGACCGCATCCTGCGGGCCTTCCTCATCGAGGAGCAGCGGATCGTGAAGCGCGCGCTCAAGGCCCGCGCCAAGTCGCAGAAGGAAAAGAAGCGCCGCGACGCCAAGAAGAAGCGCAAGGAGGAGAAGAAGGCCGCCATCTCGAAGAAGATTGCGAAGAAGATCGGCGCGAGGTCTGCGCTCACGAAGAAGCCGGCCGCCAAGAAGAGGACCACGGCGAAGGCCCCCGTCGGCGCGACGCTCAAGAAGAAGTAGAGGGAAGGAGGCGCCGCGACACGCGTCTTCTTCGCTTTCTCTCTCTCTGTCTC